ATAATAAATCCTTTTTAACAGAGCCTCTAGCTTCGTTACCACAAGTAAACGAACTTCGACCACATCCGACAGTCCTGTTCTATTTTCTCGGCTTTTCTTCATATTTTTTATTTCACCAATTCTTTCTAATTGTTCCAAATTTTGACGAGAAAAGGAGAAAAGAAAATTTGGAAATATTGAGATAAAGCAAAATGTAATAAAGTTATGTTTAAAATTTTTTTCAAAAGTGATTAATAATTAGGATCTAAACAATGTTTCTTACCTCTATAAAATGCCAGTAAGCTTTTCTAAAAAAAAAGAAAAAAGAAAGAATAATGATCAGGAAAAATATTTCCGTTAATTTTCCTATAGTTTTATTGCATCAAATTAAACGCACGCCTTCATGAAATGCATTATTTTACTTTCGCACATTTTATCTGATATTCGCGAGAAAAATTGATGCGAACCGCAGATGCGGTTGGAAATAAGAAAACAAATTCACCGAGCGAACGTGGAGGACGAAGATATATATTTCCTTGACGTGACCTATAAAGCCTTTCTCTTGAGATAACGCTCCGAAGTTATCATTCGAAGTCAACGTGTAACTTTATATGGTGGCTATAATGGCAGGAAATGTAATTGTAAAGCTCGTCTCAAGAGCGCGAAGCCGTGCCTGCCTGCTTGCCTTTCTGCCTTGCCCGCCTGCAAAAAGGTGGAATGTGACGACTTATTGCAGGCGGGCGTTAACTTTTTCCGCTCGGCGCGGTTGGTAAACGCAACTAAGCTGGATCGCTGTATCTCTCCTGTCTACGCCGCTTTACTTTCCCTGCCCTGGGTTTTACTCGCAGAATTATTATCGCAGTAGACGACGGCGAGATATACCGGGAGCGGTTATTCAGCCTGAAGCGTGACGTTTTTACGATCGTGGAAAGCGTCCTGAAAGCGCTCGCGTAGTCGCGAGTATGTATATACCCGCGTGTTATAATGCACTCTCGAACGTATTGCGAATTTTTTTTTCCGATTGACGAGAGAGCGAAACTCCCGACAAAGGATCGATCGCTTGTTACGCCCGTATAGTTTCGAGGAACTACGAATTT